GGGGGGGGGTGTGTGTTACTGGGGATTGAACCCAGGACCTTGCGCTTGCCGGGCAGGCGCTTGTGCCGCCGAGCTCTATCCCCGGCTCGGCAGCATTCTTTGCTTTGGAACATTCAGGGCATAGGCGTCCTTCTTTTATGTTCCCTCATCTTTCTACCTGGCAAACTCCTAATTAAACTTCAAAACCAGAGCAGCTTTACCTCTCCTGGGAAGCCTTCCCAGGCTCACCCTGGTAGCCACAGCTTCTGACTCTGGGCCTGAAGGCCATGCATCCTCATGGTCCCTCGTCTCACACCCAGGGGTGCTCAGAAAAGGCTGCCTTCCTGAAGGACAGGTGTAGGTCCTTTGAGCTTTCTTCTCTCTAGAGTGCCGTCCTCACAGAGCTGTCCCTGCCTGGGCTAAAGAGTCTGGTCAGTCTGGGGTACACAGGAGACCCTGCCTCAAGGGGTCTGGTGACTCTTCAGCCCACTTTGCCCTGGGCAGTCTTACCTGAGCTTAATTCCCTTCTAAAGCTTCCAGGGGTGGAGCCTTGGCAGTCTCTCAGATCTTGCTTTTGCCGTGCTTTCTTAATAGAAATTGCCTTTAAAGATTATTTTTAGGCAGGCATAGTGGTGCATGCCGGTAATGCCAGCACTCTGCAAAGCTGAGGCAGGCGGATTGCAAGTTTGAATCCTACTTTGGCAACTTAGTGAGTTAGGCAGATCTGTGGCAAAATTTAAAAGGGCTAAGCTGGGTGTGGTGGCGCACGCCTGTAATCCCAGCACTCAGGAGGCTGAGGCAGGAGGATTGTTGTGAGTTTAAGACCAGCCTGGGCTACAACGTGAGCTACACTGTGTCAAAAGCCAAAAAAAAAAAAAAAGATTTAAAAGGGGCTGGGGATATATGTAGTTCTGTACAAAGGCCCTCATTCCTCCTGAGCACTGTGAAAGCAAGCAAACAAACAAACAAACAGGTTTCCCTTGTTTGAATTTACAACTATCACCTTCATGAGGTGAGCCTCTTGAGTGCCAGAACTACAGGTGTGCGCCACGAGACCTGCCTCATTGTTCACTTGATTTTAACTGCATGTGTCTGAATCTCAAAACATATTGTTTTGCTTTACTTGATTTTGAGCTTTACAAAAAATACTGATTGGGCTCTTTTTGTTGTTGTTTGTTTGTTTCTTTTGGGGCAAGGTCTCCCTGTGTATCCCAGACTGGCCTGGAACTTGTGGTGATCCTCCTGCCAGGAATCCTTTTAAATGAGGGAGTAGGGCCTGGGTTGCAGCCCAGTATCACACACACACACACACCAAAATAAGGAAGAACAGAAAAACAGGAGTTTGTTCTTTGCGGAGTCAGCCCATTCGCTATTATAACGGCTGCAGGCCTGGCCACGCTGGTATTACCAGAGCGCTGCTGAGAAGGTTGTGCACCACAATGCACACCTGTAATCTCATCTCCTGGGGAGGCTGAGGCGGGAGGATCCCAAGTTCGAGTCCACCTGGGTAACTTGGTGAGACCCTGTCTCAAAATAAAAAGGGCTGAGAATCTGATGTTGTTCAGTGGCATAGTATTACCGCATTCAATTCCCTAGTCCCATAAATAGTAAAATAAAATAGAATCCCTTGTGCTTCTGACCCAACTGCTCTTCTTTTAGGGACTTAGCCTGACAAGCGCATGAAGACAGGGCACAAAGGCAGAGGACAAAACAGGCATCCCGGGCGGCATCGAACGGTGGCAATGGCGGCTTCCTGTGGGTCATGCGCTGACTCTGTCCCTCCTGTCCCCAGGTGGGCCTTCCTGGAGCTGGGCACCAGTGGCAGCTACAATGACAGCCTGCAGGCCTATGCAGCTGGTGTGGTGGAGGCCTCTGTGTCGGAGGAGGTGAGGCCACGACGGGGCAGCTGGGACATAGCTAGTTCCTCCCCTGCCAGACAGTTCCCTGGGAAGGTTGTTTGATTTTATTTTGCCTTTTGAGGTAGGGTTTCATTATGGGTGGTTTAGTCTGGGTTCAAACTTGTGATCCTCCTGGCTCAGCCTCCTGAGTGCCAGGACTACAGGTGTGCATCAACACACCTGGCTCACTGTTCATCTGATTTTAACTGACTCTGAATCTCAGAACAACATATTTTAAGCCGGGCATGGTGGCGCACACCTGTAATCCCAGCACTTGGGAGGCTGAGGCAGGAGGATCGTTTGGAGTTCAAGTCCAGCCTGGGCTACAAAGTGAGCTCAAGGCCAGCCTGAACTGCATAGTGAGACCCTGTCTCAAAAAAACAAGCAAACAAACAAATAAACAAAACAAGAACATATTTTGCTTTACGTGATTTTAAGCTTTACAAAAATGGTCATACTTATCCAAGTCAACAGTGGACACCACCCAGCATGGGCGGGGCTGCAGATGATGGCTGTCTCCTGTTCGGTGGGCCGGGTTGCAGGCTGGAAAATAAGTGGGTGTTCAAGTGTTGAGTGCAACCTGAATGCGTCTGGGGACTAGCTGCCCCTCTCCTCCAGTATGTGTCCTGGAGGTGATGCAGGGATAGGATGAAGTGTTCAAGGCAGCCCCAGAGCACCATGGGACCTGGGTGCGGTGCAGATGCAGGGGAGTCTGGTAGGGCATCTCGGGTGAATATGAGGTGGACCGGGGGAGAGGAGGAGGCCAGGCTCCAGTGAGACCCCTTCGTAAACCACACACGGCATCCTGGCAGCTGCTCACTGTGTCAGAGGGCTGCGGGCCGTCATGTCTGAGCGAGTGTCAGACCCTGGGCTTTGCTGCCCAAGGCGGAGATCAATTCTAAGGGGCACCTGGTCTACTTGGGGACACTGGCACCCCAGCTGTGTCCCCTAAGTCCGGCCCAATGGAGGACAGGGTTGCACGGGGGCCGGGGGTCTTGATGGCTGAGCAGGATTCAGATGTGTCCCAGTGAAGTGGCACCTGGGCACCGTCACAGCTCTCTCACTGGCACATGTGACTCGGGGACATTTCAGTGGGTGGGGTATGGCCGGATGTCACCCCAACCTTTGCCTGGTGCACTCAGTGCTTGAGAATCACAAGTGTGCTTCTTGGCATAGGTTCAAAACTTAGTCCTTTGACTCGCTACCTAGGCGAGCCTGGGTGAAGCGCTTGCCTGTGCCTCAGTTTCCTTAGCTGTCAAATGCAGGTGTTAATCAGCTTCATGTCACTATCATGAAACACCCAAGAGAATTAGCTTACAAGCAGCAAGGTTTACTTAGTCCAAAGTTCTGAGGTCCCAGCCCATGGCCGGGCCGCATGGCAATGGTAAGGGTGTATGGCTGGGTGGCCTCACTCCTGGGCCTGGGATCAGCTCTCTGTCGCCTCCGGGGACAGGCAAGGCAGGGCTACAAGGTCTCTCCTCTTCTCCACAGACCAGCCCAGGCTTGCCCACGTGGCCCCTGGCAGGCAGGTCCCACGGCCTAGTGAGGCCCCGTGGGAACCAGTGTCAGCAGGGAGCCCTGCTGTCTGCTTTCCTGCTGTGGCCTTGCTGCTTAAAGCAGAATGTGGAGCCACTCAAACAGTATTATTTAGGAACCCAGCGTGGTGGGCACGCCTGTAATCTCAGCACCCGGGATGCTGAAGCAGGAGGAGCGCAAGTTCTAGGCCACATAGTGAGATCATATCTCAAAAACCCAAAAGACAACAAAACTAGAAAACACATTAGTTGTCCATCTGGTAAAACACATAGATAGCTTGGGTCCCCGGGACCAGGAGAGGAGGTGCAGGGTCGGGTAGACAAGGCTGCTGGAGGGGCAGACCCCGGTAGGGCTGGGCCCTGATAGGGGTGGGGCTGGGCAGGTGGAGGCTGCCAGGGAGGGGACAGTGGGAGCCTTGGCTGGTGCCCTGGGCCGCTGAGCCTGAGCTCCGACCCCTCACCCCGCAGCTCATCTACATGCACTGGATGAACACGATGGTGAACTACTGTGGCCCCTTCGAGTACGAGGTTGGCTACTGCGAGAGGCTCAAGAGCTTCCTGGAGGCCAACCTGGAGTGGATGCAGCAGGAGATGGAGCTGCACCGGGACTCCCCCTACTGGCACCAGGTGGACCCACCCCGCCTGCTGGCGGCCCAGCGGCTCAGCCGGTGCATGGATCATCCCTGCCCTCCTGTCCAACCTGCCCTTCCCCCGCCTGCCGCACCTCCCCCGTCCCTCTGTCTGTGCACTTGACTGACTCTAGCAGTCCCTCCTCGCCCGCTGTCAGCCCTCTGCCTTGCTTCTATCAAAGAAGAGCTAGGAACACAGTTACTCCTTAAGATTCTGTTTACCTGTGTACTGCAGAGACTGCGTGGTTGGGTGATTGCAGTGCTGCAGGGGTTGGACTGAAACACAGGGAGAGTTCTGGCCTAGAGCACTGCATTTTCCTTTCCTTGGGTGAGCTGCTGTTTGGCCGCAGCTAACAGAGAGTCTGGGTCAGGTACTTTCCTCTTGGACAATGGGCTTGGTCAGGAAGAAACAAGTCAGCTAATTTACAGATTCCTTAAAAACCTCAAGGGGTGAACTGTGAATTACCCAGGACAGTTTATTGCTGTGAAGTGCTGTGGGTGCCTGGCTGCACGTCTGCCTACCTTAGACTGGGTTTGTGCCATTTCTCTCGCTTGGGACAGTTTCCACTGTCATATCCCTAAGTGTACCCTCCCTAGAGCAGGCTCTTCTACCTCCCCATGCACATCACCACCGCCGTCCCTTCCTCCACCCATCTGCCCACCCGGCACACACTCATACACCCACCTAACCGCCCGTCCGTCCGTCCGTCCGTCCGTCCATCCATCCATCCATCCATCCATCCATCCATCCATCCATCCCTCTAGTCTTCCATCCGCCCACCTACCCTCCCTCCCATCCACTCATCCATCCCTCCACACATCCATTTATCCACCCGTCCATCTACATGTTCTTCCGTCCATCCGACCATCTTGCTAAGTGCCTGGTGCACGTGTAGCAGAGGCCGATGCCCTGCGAAGGTGCCAGTACTCAGGGCTATGGGGCACCACAGTGGCAGTGGAGAGAAGCGGGCTGCAGGCGGCAGGCACCCGAGGCACAGTGTGCCAGTGCCTGACCTCAGGGTGGGGAGTGTCGGCCCGAGGGCCCGGCCGGGCTGTGAGGCTTCCAGCAGGAAGCTGCTTTTGAACCAGGCTTTTCAGCAGGGGGCCTTGGGGGTGGCACCAGGGCGGGCCTTGCAGTTGCTCACTGAAAGCAGGAAGGTGCTTGGCATGTAGGACTCAAGGCTGGCTGGAGCCCAGCAGTGAAGTGGGCCTGCCCCGCTCTGGCGGAGATGCCTGGGCCAGGCCCCTGCCCTCAGGGGGCATTGTGACCCTCCCTCCGTCCCTCCCCTAGGTGAGGCTGACCCTCCTGCAGCTGAAGGGCCTGGAGGACAGCTACGAGGGCCGCTTGAACTTCCCCACTGGGAAGTTCTCTGTCAAGCCTCTGGGGTTCCTGTAAGTGCCACCTGCTCACCACCCTGCCCTTGCTCTTTGTGGCCTGTGGCCTGTGCCAGTCTGTGGCCCCACCAAGCCCCAGCTGTGAACCAGGTGCAGAGCAGCAGGCCTGGTGACCTGGTGCCCGGCCTTCCCAGACTGCTGCAGATCTCAGGCGATCTGGAGGACCTAGAGCCAGCCCTGAACAAGACCAAGACCAGGGCGACCCTGGGCTCCGGCTCCTGCTCTGCCCTCATCAAGCTGCTGCCCGGCCAGCGGGACCTGCTGGTGGCCCACAACACGTGGAATGCCTACCAGTACATGCTGCGTGTCCTCAAGAAGTACCAGCTGCAGTTCCGGGAGGGCCCCCGAGGTGGGTGGACAAGGTGCACCTGCGCGTGTGAGCAGCCCCCATCCCTGCCCTTGGCAACAGGGGTCACACGAGAGCCATTCCAACAGTTTTTCATTGGGGAGGGTGCTAAGGATTGAGCCCAGGACTTGGTGCACGCTAGAAAAGTGCTCTGCTGCTAAGCTTTACCTCCAGAGCTTTTAATGCTTTATTTGAGACATGGTCTCTCTCCTGGCCTCAAAATTGGGATCCTCCTGCCTCAGCCTCCCAAGTATTGGAGATCACAGCATGTGCTACTGTGCTCAGCTCATCTTGTTTTTGCCATGTGTGTTTCCTTTCCATTTTTATTTTACAAGTTGTACCAGTTAGCTTTTGGTGTGTAACCAGGCACCCCAAAATTTAAAATAATCACCGTCTAGCTCTTGCTCCTGAGTCTGAGGTCAGCTGGTAGTGGTAGTTTGTTTCTCTGGGCCAGATGTAGCTGAATAGGGCTGGGATCACCAGTGTCCCTATTGTCCCCTGGGGGGAGCTGGCTGGTTAGGATGGCCTCATTCCCGAGCTTGGGGTTTGACCATCAATTCAGGGGACAGAAACCCAGTAGGCGAGCCCAGGCTGGCTCATGTGACATCTGGCAGGGAGGGGAAGACCTACTGAGACCTGGATGAAACTGGTGCCACCTCCTGACACCCAGAGCAAGGCAGGTGGCCAGCCCAGACTCAAGGGGGCAGGGCAGACCCCACCCTCGGTGGCAGGCGTCTCTAAGTCCCATTGCAGATGCTGCGGATGCCGGCACAGGAAAGGTGATGGCCATTTTGCAAACAGCTGCCTTTGTGAGGGATGCGTGACCCTCTCCTCTTGTCCACAGTGACAAGTAGCGGCCCAGGCCCAAGTCCCTGCAGGGCCACCCTGGGCCCTGGCCCCAGGTCCAGGTCAACCCTAGAGGCTCTGTTGCCAAACATTTGTAGTGTCTCTTTCCTGGCCAAGCTTTATTTATTTATTTATTTGTTTTTGAATTTTTGAGACGGGGTCTTGGTATACAGTCCATACTGGCCCTGAACTCGCAATGTAGCCCAGGCTGACCTTGAACTCATAGTGATCCTCCTGCCTCAGCCTCCTGTGTGCTGGGATTATAGATGTGCGTCACTGTGCCCAGCTTGGCCAAACTTTAAAACTTGGTGGTGCTGGAGCAGCAAGACAGGGGGGAAGGGTCTGCCCTTATTCACCACTCGTGGGAGGACGTGTTGGCCGTGCCACTTTAAAGAGGAACCCCGCTGGCATCAGGTAAATTTCGCAGTGCATTGATCCTGTGAACCAAGGTTCTCTGACTCAGGCCTGGACTAGGGAAACATCTCAGCTTCTGCCTGGGGAGAGGACAGAAGGTCCTCATGGCAAAAGTGCTTTGGAGACAGCCCAGTGGCCATGAATTTCTACTAGCCGACTTCTGGGGAAGCATTTGAGCAGCAGCATGACACGCTCTGAACGTGCACTTGACTGCATAGCATCAGCTAGAGACCCGAATGTGCTCAGCCCTGAGCAGCGTCCCGGCCCCGGCCCCACCCCGGGGTCTCTGCCTGAGGTCCCGCGGGGTGCGGGGCTCAGCCTGGCGGTGAGGGACAGGGCAGGGCCAGAGTCCTGCAGCTCGTGCTCCCTCGTGCCCGGCCTCCTCCTCCATGGGTGCCTGGCGTCTGTGCCTTCCTTCGTGCAGCTGTGGCTCCAGCCTGTTTGCTGTGTGTGTGTGTGTGTGAGACAGAAAGAGAGAGACACAGAGACAGAGAGAAAGAATGTCTGTAGTGTGTCCTAAGTGGTAGAGATTGAACCCCATGTGCTGAACAGGTCTTTAGCCACTGAGCTACACCCACAGCTCCCTTACATTTTACTTATAAATATGTTGTATTTGGTGGCACACCTGTAATCCCAGCTGTCTGGGAGGCTGAGGCGGGAGGATCACTGGTTCAAGCCCAGCCTGGGCAACTTGGCAACTTAGGGGGAGCTTGTCTCAAAATAAAAGTAAATAAATAAAAAGGGCTAGTGAAGTGGCTCAACGTGAAGGCCCTGGGTTTGCTCCCCAGTGGCACAACTTCCTTTGATTTTCTTCTGTAACTTGCTTCATTATGTGAGTAGTGTGTGAGCACTGGCAGGCTGGGCACTGGCTCTGATGCAGCAGAAGCCCCGCCCCTCCTAGAGGAAACTGCATGGCCAGCTTGGTTTGGCTCCACCTGGACTTTTTGGATGTATTTTATTTATGTATGTTTCCCACCTCCCTTTCATTTAGGACCTTTGCTCTGAGCTACATCCTCGGCCCTTTTTTATCTTTTTATTTTATGTCAGGGTTCCCTAAGTCACTAAGTTGCCTAGGCTGGCCTTGAACTTGCAATCCTCCTGCCTCAGCCACCCAGAGGACTGGGATTAAAGGATGCACTATCATACCATATATGTATGGTGTTTTAATAAATGGCCCCTATGTTTAAGAAAAGTCATAGCTTTGCAGGTATATTGGGTAGATACTCAAATTTCCCACATCCCAACCCTGCTTCCTTGCCTTATCATTGTAACGTCTCTCAGGGAGGTTTGTTACAGGAGAGGGACCAATGTTGATACGTTGAAGTCCATTGTTTATATTGGGGTTCACTCCATGTTTGTGCAGTTTTATGTCTTTGTTTTGTTTTGTTTTATTTTGCAGTGCTGGGGCTGGAACCCAGGGCTCCGCCTTGCTAGGCCAGTGCTCTACCCTGAGCCACAGTCCCAGGGCCACTCCACATTTTCTATCCAATGGCCTCATCTGCTAATGGAGAAGAAACCCAGTGTGGGGCTCTCCCTGCCCCACGCCCCAAGTCCCGCCAGGCAGGGTGCAGGGGTCCCCGGGCCTCCCTGACCGCACCTGCCGCTGTCCCCACAGAGGACTATCCCCTGGCTCCGGGCAACAAGCTGGTCTTCTCATCCTACCCAGGCACCCTCTTCTCCGGTGATGACTTCTACATCTTGGGCAGCGGGCTGGTGAGTCACCCCCGCCCTGGGCTCTGGGTGCTCAGGAAGGTCATTCAGCCTGCAGAGATCAGTGCCAGGCGCTGTGTAGGAGTTGGGGAGAATAAAGTGGTGTAGCCCCACCACAACCCCCTGCTCTGGGGCATGGGCCCCTGTGGGCTTGCAAGATACAGACTCCTAGGCCCCTACAGGGCCCCAAATCTTGAATCTAGCTCAGGCCTCTTCATTGTAACTCTGTTGTGGGGGACCACTGGCCTCTGGGACCTCAGGAAACACCGTTGCCTGGGAAGTGGCAACCTCCGTTTGTTTATTTATTCATTCATTTATTTATTTAGACAGAGTCTTGCTGTGTAATTCAGGCAGGCCTTAAGCTCACTATGTTCAAGGCTGGCCTTGAACTCCTTGTGATCCTCCTGCCTCAGCCTCCCAAGAACTGGGATTACAGGCATGCACCACCATGCCTGGGCTGTTCTGTTTTTCTGGGCTGAGGATAAACTCTGCACTGCCCCCTGGCCGCCCATGACCTTGTTCCTGCTTCCCCCAAATCCTCCCACTCGGCGGGGCTTCTGAAGAGCAGCCGTTTCCCCTGTGTTGTTCTGCTGTTTTCCCTGGCTGGCATCCAGACTCGCTTAGAAATCTGTTCCTGGCACCCTCACCACCAAGGCTTGTGCCCGCCATTGCCAGGGCAATGTTGCCAGGAGACAGAGTGCGCTTTATACAGCACCCTTGGGGCACAGGATGCCAGCCCTGGGGACAGGAGGGGCTCTTTCTGTCCTGTCCGTTACTTTTGTCTTAGTGTGGGAAGAGGCCTGCTAGGCCCGGTGGGGCTGAGGGCGCAGGGAGGGGCGACAGGGCCGGTTCCATCCAGTCCCTGGAGTTCACAGTTTTTGTGCCACTGTCAGCCCCTTCTCGGATCTAGGATTTTTTTTCAGTGCTAGGGACTGAACCCAAGGCCTTCACGGTCAGCTCCAGCCTCACCCCTTTTTAAGTCTTGAAATTTTGAGCCGGCTTCTTGCTAAGTCACTGAGTGGCCCGGGCCGGGCTGAAGCTTGCCTCAGTCACCCAGCATGCACAGGGGTCTCAGGTGTGCGCTGTGTCCAGCTGGGCTTAGATTTTTGAGTGCATAAGCCCAAACACGTCGAATTGTAAAGGAAGTAGCCACACCGCAGCATGGTTGTCTAAAACTACGCGAGTAGATGACGAGGCCTCTGTGCTGCCTCGCCGTGGACACAGTGAGGCACAGGCCCCCAGCAGACACGGGTGCCACGGCGCGGGGACAGCCCGCACGGGCGCCATCTCCGAGAGTGGGCGCCCTGCGCCGTGCTGCGTGCCGCGCTGGGTGCCGCAGCGGCCCAGGCAGGCCAGTGAGTGTTAGGCCCTGGCTGTTAGCAGCGAGAGAAGATGGGAGCTGCGTCTCGATGTCAGTGAGGAGGCGGCTGTGTGAGGCTTTTCCCATCCCAGTTTACAGTGTCTGGAGCCCCACCGCAGGTGAAGGGAGGAGGGTCAGCCCCACCGCAGTTCTCAATGCAGAAAGGCTGGGTACGGGGCAAGGAGGGGACTAGGGACGGGGGTGGGCATTGCCAGTAGATGGGCTTGCCTTGACGGTGTCCTCTTTTCTATATACGTATAAAAGAATAAAGATCAGGGGCCGGGGATACAGCTCAGTGGCGCAGTGCCTGCCTGGCAAGCACAAGGTCCCAAGTTCCATTCCCAGTACCTTCCCACAAAGAGATCACCAGTCATAAACACGCAAATCACACTGTGAGCCGGGCATGTTGGCGCACACCTCTAGTCCCTGCACTTGGGAGGCTGAGGCGGGAAAATCACTGCAAGTCTGAGGGCAGCTCAGGCTATATAGCAGGACCCTGTCTGAAAAAACCAAAACCAACTGAAACAACAAAAAAATCACATTGTGAATACTGTTATCTTTTAGCTGTTTTCAGCTTTTGGGTTTTTTGTTTGTGGCACTGGCGATTGAAGCCAGCATGTTCACACAAAGCTACATCCCCAGCCCTTGCTTATTATTTTTATAATCTGTGTTGTCAGGCCAGTGGTCCTCAGTGGGGCAGTCGGTGTCCCCGGGGGACGCACTGGCTCTTGTGGAAGTCAGGGACCCATCATAGAGGGTGAATTCACACTCAGCCCTGCCCCCACCTTCTCACTCGACACCAGAGAAGACCAGCGGAACCCTCCTGGCTGCTGACTGGAGTTTAAAGAAGCAGAGAAGCATTGTTTAGCAAACTTGCAGCAGGCAGGCAGAGCCCCAGGAGGACGTGGAGAAGGGGCAGGAGCTGAGGGCAGCACCACTTCTCAGGCCGCTGGCCCTGCAGGGCAAGGTGGGAGTGGGTGGGCTGGCTTGGTGGGGGCCCCCCTGGAGAGCAGGCTGGGCTCCCTTGGGGTCTGGCTCCCAGGGAAAAGCTGGGAGCACAGCCCGGAGTCCCTCCAGTGCCCACCACAGGAGCCCAGAGGAGCAGGTACCTAAGTCAGGATCAGGATGTGAGGTGTTTTTTTGTTGTTGTTGTTTTTGGTTTTTTTGTTTTTTTTCCGGTACTGGGAACCAAACTCACGACCTGGTGCTTGCCAGGCAGGCACTGTGCCACTGAGCTAAATCCCCAGCCCCATGGTTTTTGTTTTTGAGACAGGGTCTCACTTTGTAGCCCAAGCTGGCCTCAGACTCATCATGATCCTCCTGCCTCAGCCTCCTAAGTACTGGGATTATAGGCGTGCGCCACCACATTCAGTTTAGGACGTGAGGTTTTAAGAAAGATCCATGAAGCACCCACCTTGAGAGCCGTGGGAAGTGGCATGCCTGGGAGGTGCAGCCCTGGCCTCCCCTCCCAGGTCACGCTGGAGACCACCATCGGCAACAGGAACCCGGCGCTGTGGAAGTACGTGCAGCCCCGGGGCTGCGTGCTCGAGTGGGTCCGCAACACCGTGGCCAACCGCCTGGCTGTGGATGGGGCCACCTGGACGGACGTCTTCAAGATGTTCAACAGCGGCACGTGAGTGGCTCCTGGCCCTGCGGCCACCTCCTTTAGACGTGGGCCCCAGGGTGCCTGACGGCACCAGGGGCACAGGCTCTGCGCCCTCCGCAGAGCCCCCTTGCTCTGTGTATGGGAAACTGAGGCTCGGGCAGGAAGGGTTTTGCCCCTATCCCGTGCAGGTTCCCTCCCCCGAGCTGGAGCAGGGAGGGCGTGTGGGACTTGAGGCTCTGGGGGTTGCGGGAGGGGGGCCCGGAGAGTCGCGGGTGAGTGGTTGGCCGGGAAAAGACACCCCGGAGCTGATCATCAGGCCGTGGAACTGACCTTTGTTCTGACCATGTTAGGGGGCCTAGAACGTGCCAGGCTAGACGAACAGCACAGAGGAAGGGGTTTGTCCAGCTGCCCTGCCAGTGTGAGGGCTGCCTGGCCAGGCGCCTCTAGGCGGTCACCGTGGGTGACTTCTGGCTGCGTGGGGTGCTAGGGTGCTAGGGTGGGAGGCTGGGGCAGCGCCCGGGTACGTTCAGTCTCCCACTTGGGCACGGCAGGTACAATAACCAGTGGATGATCGTGGACTACAAGGCGTTCATCCCCGGTGGGTCCAGCCCGGGCAGCAAGGTGCTCACCATCCTGGAACAGATCCCGTGAGCCCCGGGCAGCAGGGGCTGGGGTGGGCAGAGGGCTGGCAGGCAGAGGCCAGAGACATGCCAGGGAGGGTGCTGGGAAGGTGCGCTGTAGAGGGGCTGGGGTTCAGGACCCATTGGGGTTGGGGAGACAGAGCTCTTGGAGCCGCTCTTCCAACCTGACCGCCTTGCCTGTCTCTTCCGGGTGTCAGAGGCATGGTGGTGGCGGCTGACAAGACCTCAGAGCTCTACGAGAAGACCTACTGGGCCAGCTACAACATCCCGTACGTGCCCCGTCCTGCCGCTGCACAGCCCCCACCATGGGGCCGGTCCTTCCACTTTAGCAGGAGAGGCCCCAGCTACTGAGCCGCACCCCAGCCCCCAGCCGGGTAGGAAGGCCCCGACCCTTTTGTGTGTAGCTTAGGCCAGCCTCGCATGACCTTGCAGTCCTGGCACCCAGCTGACCGTGGCATGGGATGGCCAAACCCAGATCAGAGCCGCAGTCCATGTCTGGGTGCAGAAACCCAAGGCCCTGAGAGAAGGTCAACTTCCCCACAGTCTACAAGTGGGAACTGGGAAAGCCAGAATTCGAACCCATGGCTGGCTGTTGGACCCCAGAGCCCAAGCTCAGCTGCCCCCCAGGTCACCCCCGGCACAAATGACAGACATCGCTATCACCAGCCCGACCATCGTGGCTGCTGATCACGATGTTCTTGATCACAGCCAGGCCCGGCTGAGCTCAGTAGGGGTGACACCCTGTCCCCACAGGTCCTTTGAGTCTGTGTTCAATGCCAGCGGGCTGCCGGCTCTGGTGGCCCAGTATGGGGACTGGTTTTCCTACAGCAAGAGCCCCCGCGCCCAGATCTTCCTGCGGAACCAGTCCCTGGTGCACGACGTGGACTCCATGGTGCGGCTGATGAGGTGGGGGCTTCCGGCTCGGGGCGGGGCCCTTCCGGGACAGCTTCCTGCGCAGCTTGCTCCATCTGCCCTTGCCACCAGCCCAGGGCTCCGTAGTGGCGGTCACGGTACTTAACCCTCCCATCACAGGGAGGACGCTGGGCACCCTGGGGCCACCGCCCTGTGCCCGGCCCAGGAGGAGCAGGCACCAGACCTGCTGGCCGCCGTCCTGAGGAGCCCATGCCTCGTGGTAGCACCAGGCCTGTGCAGACGCACAGCGAGAGCCACCTGAGTCCCAGGAAATGCTAGCAAGGGACAGCGCGGGCGCCTGACCTGGCCGGGTGGGGGTCGGAGGGCTTCTCTGGGGCGAGTGCTGATCTGAGAACTGAAGGACGAGGGGCGTGGTGGAGAATAGCGGGGTCCAGGCCACAGCTGTCAGGGTCACAGAGCTGCCACCATGAGGGGTGTGCCCTTCCCTCCTCCAGGTACAACGACTACCTCCACGACCCCCTGTCGCAGTGTGAAGCCTGCAGCCCGCAGCCCAATGGGGAGAACGCCATTTCCGCCCGCTCCGACCTCAACCCAGCCAACGGCTCCTACCCGTTCCCGGCACTGCGCCAGCGCTCTCACGGGGGCATCGATGTGAAGGTGCTGGCCCACCTGGGGCAGAAGTGGGGCCCTGAGGTCACACTGGGGCGGGGATCTGGGCTCCGAGCATCAGGCCAGCCAGGGTCGCCATTCAGCCACCTGCTCTCTTCCGCCCCCCAGGTGACCAGCATGTCCCTGGCCAAGGCACTGAGCCTGCTGGCCGTCAGCGGCCCCACGTGGGACCAGGTGCCCCCGTTCCAGTGGAGCACCTCGCCCTTCCCGGACCTGCTGCACATGGGCCACCCCGACCTCTGGAAGTTCGCCCCTGTCAAGGTCTCGTGGGACTGAGGCGCCTTTTGCCTTTCGCCTTGCTGCTGCCTTCGCCCTGTGGGGCCCTGGGAGGGCCGTCTCGCCTGCCCGCCCTCCCGGCTCTGCTGTCCGCTGGCCCGGAGCTCGGTCTGTCTGTGTGGTCTCCTCTGGGGTGTGGAGACTGACGCGGTGTCAGTCCTGAAGAGTGCGGGCCATCCCTGTCCCCGCTGTGCTGCGCCGTCTGCCGACCCCCCTGCCCTGCTGGTCTCCAGGGCACGCGGGTGGGGCCCCGCTGCCCCTAGGAAGAGGCTGTGCGCCTCTCCAGCAGCTTCCTCGAGGACAGAAACTGGAATACAAACCAAAACCAAAGTTTCTGGCCACTCGTGGCTGGAGGGTCCTGAGTGCCCGTCTCCCTGCAGGGCTGGCGGGAGTGTTGCCCCAAGCTCCTGCCTCACATCCCTACCCAGCCTGGCCTGCGCCCGGCCTCTGGGCAGCGCCCACGGCCCCCACTGTAGGAACCAAACCATTAAACACAGGAGCCTGTGCCTCTGAGCGCGCTTCTTGGGGAGGTGGAGCGGCTGAGGGGGAGGCACTGTTGCGTGTGGGCTCTCACTGTCTGCCTTGCGTCGTCCTGTCCATCCTGCTGCCTGTCAGTCTGCGCTCATGGGCCAGCCTGCCCATGGACCCCCTGTCCATCTGCAGTCACCCCATCCATCCATCTGCCCATGTATCATCCATCTTTCTGTCCATCTGTCCACATCAGCCATATATCACCATCTGTTCATCT